AGCTGGAGAAAAGTGTCAGGAGTGATCTGTGACAGAAGAGTGTCAGCTAAGGTGAAGGGAAAGGTTTACAGGACAGTGGTGAGACCAGCCATGATGTATGGTTTAGAGACAGTAGCAATAGGCAGAAGACAGGAGGAGGAGCTGGAGGTGGCAGAGTTAAAGATGCTAAGATTCTCTTTAGGAGTGACAAGAATGGACAGGGTCAGGAATGAGGTCATTAGAGGGACAACACAGACAGGAAGGTTTGGAGAAAAAGCTAGAGAAGCCAGATTGAGATGGTTTGGACATGTGCAGAGGAGGGACAGTGGATACATTGGTAGAAGAATGTTAGAGATGGAGCTACCAGGTAGGAGAAAGAGAGGAAGGCCAAAGAGGAGATATATGGATGCAGTGAGGGAGGACATGCAGGTAGTTGGAGTCAGAGTAGAAGATACAGAGAACAGGGACAGATGGAAATCAATGATTTGCTGTGGCAACCCCTGAAAAAGGGACAAAGCCGAAAGAAAAAGAAGAAGAATTAAAATGCATTAATTAAAATTAACAGCAAAATTAAATTAAATAATAAAATTATTATATAATAATAATAATATAAAAATATAATAATAATTATTATATTATTTTGTGATGATTGAATCAATGACGACATCAACGTGAAGTATAGGAACAAAAATGTTGGTCAATTTTTTTATCTGTAAGTCAAGACCAGTCACCTCTCTGTGTCGCCCCCTGTCTTCCAATTTGAGAATAAAAGGCAGTAGGAACAACACCCTAACAGCCAACCAGAACCATCCAAAAATAAGGAAGCAGAGCCTTTTTTTTTTTTTTTTTTTTACCAGGGCGCTCATTAACTTAATGCTGCGCTCTGATAAATCATTAGCGGTCTGCGGCGACGTCCAAAAGTACATTAACATTGAACAGTTCTCACAGAGTGTCACTCTGACAGAGAGGACATGGACGCGTCCTCTAAAACTGGAAAGAGTTCATGTCCACACTTTTAGGAAGGTGAGACGTTCAGTGCCATCGCGGCATGTCTCGCACTATCACATTTGTCCTTTAGCACTGACGCCACTGAAACACAATCATACCTCGGGGTGTGTAGCAGAGCCCCTGCCCCTGATCACTGAGGGGCTGGATTAAAAAAAAAAAAAACTTAAAATCCAAATCCAAAAGTCTGATCAGATTAGTGAATACTAAATCACAGCCTTTATTTCCAGCCCGTTTTTCCATCTTTTTTTTTTCCCTCCTCGTCTCTTCACCTACAGTGAAGTGTATAAATTATACAGCGGCGTGATGAATAAAGAATCAAAGGGACGGAGGCCGACTACTACAGCTTCCACTGGGATACCCTCCTACTATAACTGTGGCCTCCGCCTACACTCGCTTCAGCAGCAACGCACACACCGTGTGTGTGTGTGTGTGTGTTGTTGCCGTAAGTGCAGTGAATGAAAAATGCACAGGTGAAAAAAACAAAAAAAAAAAAAACAGCCAAGTATTTGCACATATGACCACAAACACCATCTGTTAGATCTGGTCAACGCTAGGGGGCAAGATACGGCCCGCTGGGGTTTCCGCTCCAGCCGGTCAAACACTGGTACTAGGTATGGTACATAAAAATAAATAAATTTAAAAAATCTATCCTTCTGTTTCATACATCACCTATCGACTAATTTCTGTGTCTGCCACTAGATGGCAGCAGACATCATATGCGCCAAATTATCTTTGAAAGCTTAGGGTTTTTCCTGTACGTTTTATTGAAATGATGTTGCCCAGTATTCGACATCCAACCAATAAAGAACCAGCGGGTGATCGGTTCAAATGCAGCCATTTTTCTGATAGTTTATCTCATCGTTTCTCCTTTGATCATTCTACTCTACCATCAGCAGTTTTTACTTTGTTGACTGTGAAACAAACATGTGACCAGTGAGTGACATATACTGAACTATAATGTACCAGTGTGTACCAGTGTGTACCAGTGTGTACCAGTGTGTACCGGCCATCGATCGCCTCAACAACTTCATCCACATTTCAGACAATTCTCTCCAATCATTTCCTCTTTCTTGGTCAAAATAACCCCCCCCCCCCCTTTTTTCAGACACATAGTGGTTGCCTAGCAACCAGGAGACAGAGTCCTGGGAACACAAGTGAAGGGTATGCAGTTGCTGC